CTTGAACACTGCACTTTATTCCTCAGCAAATGAGCGACAGATGCTTGTTGATAGAAGAATTTTAGCTGGTGACTCTGATGAGGACCTTGGATCTATTGGTACATGCTCACACAGTTGCCAGTGAGCTTGAACTGTGGGAGAGAAAGTTGTTTATTCTGCAGGCATTGCTTGAGTGCCAACCACATACCGGACATTGTTCTGGTGCTAGGGACGCACTGAGCTTGGGATTTCTGGTGAACAAGGTCAGGCAATGGACCTGCTGCCATGAAGCTGACCTTCCAGTGGAAGATCTAAAGGTAGGAGGTACGCCCATTTCTAGAGGTTTTACCAGGGAAATTGGCTGCTCTTTGTTTTATATCTACACCCACATATTCTTGTAGCAAGCCTGAGACACAATGAGATTGCATAAGATGCTGAAGCTCAGAGAGCTCCCAAGGTATGGAGAGTTGGTACTTGAGCCAGGGCTCTGGGGGTTTAGAGAGGATCGTGGCCTGGCAGGGACCACGTATGCACAGTGAAGTGGAAAGAGCAAAATTTAAAAAACATATATGATATTATATAATATCTCATAACCACTTTTAAAGCTATCAAAGATTAGGAAAAAAACTGGAAGGAAAGATATCAAAACGTTAATGATAGTTGGTTTTAGAACAAGGGGTGGCATTTTTCTTCTCTTCTATATTTCCGCTTTTTAAAATGTGATTATATTACCTGAATAATTTTTAAATGACTAAGAAAGTTGACCAAAGAAATATGAGATCTTGAAAGTCTCATTTTAGAACCAATGTTTCCACTAACTAGCTGCATGGCCTGGAAAGGGTCACTCCTCTGGTCTCCCAAATACCCGCAAATCAATTGTTGTCCTCCCTACAGGTCTGTTTAAATGCCTGTCCCCTCTTTTTGCAAACCTTCATGGCCCTTCAACAGCCTGCTGTAGTGTCTCTGGCCTTCCTAAAAACTACTCTGACTCATTGTGATCACCCCTGCCTGCCACATAGCCACTGTAATATTAGTTAGTAATTATTCATTGAATACTTGCTAGGGGCCAGATACTCAGCTAAGTTCTCCATATACATTATGTGATTCAATTCTCCAAAGATTTCCATGATGCCTGTAGATATTTTTAAGCCCATTCTACAGACGAGGAACTTGCCTTTCAGAGAAGTTTTGTTATTTGCTCAAGTAGGCTAGCCCACCCAGTTCTATCTGACCACAAAGTGCTCTGAACTGTTGTGCTACACAGGGATTCCTCAAGGCCAGTTTTTTTCTCAGCCCTCAGTGCCTAGCATAGTTCCTGGCATGTAGTGAGTGGGTCCTTAATATTTGTGAAATGAACAATTACCAGAAAATCCAATTTTTTGAGCCTCATTGCATTGTTAACTATGTACAAATACGTCCACAATAACAGTATTACCGTATGTTGGGTGTCTAGCCAGTTCTAACTGTATGTGTATTGTAATCTCAATTAATCTTCACTTCAACCTTATCAGGAGACCTTGCACTATATCCATTTTACAGATGAGAAAATGAAAATTCAAAAAATATAGGTAACTTGCCTCGAATCATACCACACCAATATGGTGTGGTAAGAGGATGTGGGTTCTTTCTTATGCAATTGTAATCTTCCTCCCCCCAAACATATCAGAATGTGAAGATGTTTGCAAAATGAGAATGATCACAAACCACGTGACTTAGCAGAAGGATTACAGGGTTCCTTTACGTTTTATTTTCTCAAGTGTTCATTGCATCTAACAGAAAGATAAACTAAAATATGAAGTTTCTCCATGTCCCCACTGTTGATTTATATAATCAGAAATGAAGACATAGCAAATATGAAATTTTAACCGTGTAAGTGTTGAAAAACCCATTCTCAAGCACCATGAGTGTGAGGACCAATTGGTAAGATCTCTTTGGTTGGTAATATCTTTCTGAATTTTAAATGCTTGTGCCTTTTGATCTAGGAAGTCTACTTTTAGGGTGTATTGCCTTTTGGATGTGGAAAAAAATATGCCCACATAGTAATATTTATTGTAGTGTTTAATGTAGTAACAAAAGACTAGAAAACTTAAGTGCCTATTAATTTGCGTTTAGTTAGGTAAACTATGGTACACCACACAATGGAATACTAGGGGCCACTTAAAAGAGTTAGGTACAGCAATACATGCTGATATAGAATGTCTTCAATATATATAACTATGCAAAGAAAGCCAGGAGCACAATAGGATGTGCTCTAGGCTATAATTTTTATGAAACAACGATGAGCTGTCTCTATATATGTATGTGTACATATGCTGCTTGCTTATTAATATGGAAAGAGGGGAATTTAAGGAAGGAGAAAGAATCGTTTTCTACATCTATCATTTTGGTGATATCATTTGATTTTTCCTCCATGTATATTTCTCATATTTATTGCCAAAAACAAATATATTTTAAAAAGGAGTGTTTGTGCATGCGTGTGTGTGTGTGTGTGTGTGTGTGTGTGTGTGTGTGTGTGTGTGTGTGTGTGTGTGGCAGGTCTTAGATGTTTCGTTTTACAAGCCAGAAAACTATAATACCCAATGGTTCAGTTCAATAAGGAACAAGTGACAACTCCTGTTACATAGTAACTGATTTTGAACCTTGCAATATAAGCAGCATGAAAGAAATCACAGGCCAAGGACAAGGGGGCCGGTGAGGGTAGACCGGAACACAACGAGGTTGGGAAATTATGGAAATGTATCCAGAGACAAAACCAGTGTTTCTTGGTTGTTTGGTTCAACAAGTATTTATGGACCTAAAGTTGAGTTCTAGGGTACTAATAGAACAAAACTTCAGTTGCTGCCAACTTAGCTCTGAGCAAACTTCTGTTCTTATGAGGAGGGGACACCTAGAAGAAATTCTCAGAGTGTGGCTTCCTGGGCTGGGTGGTCCAGACCAGAGTCTCTAAGATCTGTATTGCCCACTAGATCTGGCAACTAGGTTGTTCAATTAGGAGAGTGTATGACTTGGATATCTAACATAGTTTGGCAGCTAAATGGGGTCAGGAAATGCTTCCTGAGAATTTAGCACTGAAGCTGAGAGATAAAGGAGTTAGCCGGATGGGAGCATGGCATCTGTGCATGCCCAGAGACAGCAGAGAGCTTGGGCTGTTTGGGGACAGAGAGAAGGCCAGCAGGCCAGGAGCGTCATGAGGTTGGGGACAGAGATGTCCGTGGAGGCTGGAGAAGCCAACAGGGGCCAAGATGCTGCTGGCTGTGTCCAGAGCAAGGCCAAGGTGAGGGTATCAGAGTTATGTTTTAAGAGTTATGACTTTAAAAATGATGCCTTGGCTGGGCCCTAGCACTCTGGGAGGCCAAGGGAGGAGGATTGTTTGAGGTTGAGAGTTTGAGACCAGCCCGAGCAAAAGTGAGACCCTGTCTCTACAAAATTAGAAAAAATTAGCCAGGCATGGTGGTGTGCACCTGTAGTCCCAGATACTCAGGAGGCCTGGACAGGAGGATCTCTTGAGCCCAGGGATTTGAGGTTGCAATGAGCTATGATGATGACACTGCACTCAACCCAGGGCAACAGAGCAAGATCATGTCACAAACAAACAAACAAACAACAAAATGACCACAACGACAACAAAAAATAGTGCCTTGGCCGGGCGCGGTGGCTCACGCCTGTAATCCTAGCTCTCTGGGAGGCCGAGGCGGGCGGATTGCTCAAGGTCAGGAGTTTGAAACCAGCCTGAGCAAGAGCGAGACCCCGTCTCTACTATAAACAGAAAGAAATTAATTGGCCAACTAATATATATAGAAAAAATGAGCCGGGCATGGTGGTGCATGCCTGTAGTCCCAGCTACTCGGGAGGCTGAGGCAGCAGAATCGCTTGAGCCCAGGAGTCTGAGGTTGCTGTGAGCCAGGCTGATGCCACGGCACTCACTCTAGCCTGGACAACAAAGTGAGACTCTGTCTCAAAAACAAACAAACAAACAAAAAAAAACAGTGCCTTGAAAAAAACCCACCCACCTGGCTGTAGTGCAGAGAATGGATGGAAGAAGTTGGGGAGAGGGCATTTGGGGAGAATGATTGGGAAGCTCTTTCTAGGTGGGAAAGAGGGTAGTGGACTGTCTCTTGGACTAAGCTGCTGGTTGTGGAGATGAAAAAAATGGATATTTAATGAATAATTTGTAGGCAATAGGAACCAAGTTCCATGTAGCTATGTGGGATGAGAGAGAGGGAAGAGTCAAAGAAAACTTGGAAGTTTCTAGCTTGAGAAACTGAAACAAGGGGCTGGCAGGGGTGGTGGAGATGTTGGCTCTTTTTACTGAAATGCAAAACATCAAAAAAGGAGCCAAGCCTTTTATAGGAGAAAGATGAACAGTTCAGTTTGAGACGGAGTGCATCCTTTCACCCTTTTTTTAAATTTTAGCATATTATGGGGGTACAAGTGTTACATATATTGCCCATGCCCCCCTTCCTCCTCGAGTAAGAGCTTCAAGTATGTCCATCCCCCAAACCCTTTCACCCTTTTGTTTAAGCAGCAGGGAGAGTCTGGGCAAAAGACCACAACCTGCTAATTTTAAATTCCTGTCCCCTTGATGACAGACTGAGAGTTCTCCTTCGTCTCGCCAGTCCATTTGCTGTCTGGTCTCCTTTGAGGTCTACCAGTGCCCCACCCACTCTCAGAAGATGACCCTTCTCATTTCACTGAGAAGCTATCAGACGAGACTGTCTGTATGTCACTGTCACCACTAACCTCCCAACCCTGAAAGCTGTATTTTCTGCCTTTCATCTGTGAGGCGGCAGAGCTTCTACCCATGCCCTCATGGGTGCCTGGGATCCTTCTAGTCTAGCTGCAATGGCGTCCCTGCTGTTCTTCCAGCAGGCCAAGAGCTTTTCTGCCCCAAAGCCTTTGCTCTTGCTATTTCCTTTGCCTGGAAAACATTTGCCCCAGGGAGTCCTGTGGCTGGATCCTTCATATTATTTAGGTCTCTGCTCAAATGGCACAGATGTTCTCTTGAGAAAGGAGGGGCAGGGAAAGCCACTCTTATTATTTATTAAGATCCCAGTTAGAGTGCAATATCACTGTCTTTCAGACACTGTTGCAAATACATGCCATGAATTATAAAATTGCATCTTCTCAACAGCCCCACAGAGCTGGTAGCCATAATTTACATTTACTGAGTGCTTACCGTGTGCCTGTCATTGTGCTAAACACGTTGTAAATATTAACTTACTTCTCATAACCTACCATGAGGTAGGCACTGCTGCTATCCCTGACGTACATCTGAAGCGCAGATGTAAGGGAGGGTGAGTAACTTGCCCCGCTTCACACAGCCAGAGCTGGGTTTGAACCTACAGCTCAAAGGTGGCCACTAGCTTAGGACGCCACTTGAGAGAAGGAGTCAGACTTCAGCTGAGCCCTTAAAGGTGGTGGGCATTTGTTAAAACTAAGAAGTAGAGGTAGGGCATTCCTTTCCAGGTAGAAGGCATTGTGTGTACACGGGTATAGAAGTGGGTATCAGCCTTCGCACTTTCCAGAAAGCAAGTGTGGCTGGGGTGTAAAGTGCACAGTTGAGGATAAAGGGAGTGGTGCCTGTCATTTGGTTGATAAAGTGCACAGTTGATAAAAGGAGTGTCTGTCATTTGGAGATCCACAGAGGGTTAAGGTGGCTGATTCTCCCGGGAGATGCCGAGTCTGGGTCCCTCTCTACAGGAGTCTGGAAGTGAGTGGCTGTAGCGATTGTTGACGTCTTTTTAAGTCCTTTAAGCCCTTATTGGTCCAGCTGACCGCCACCAGGGCACTTTGAGGCAGGGACTTGGGGGTGGGAAGGGAAACAGAGAAAAGGCAAGTGAAAGAGAAGGGGGAGGTGCAGTTTCAGAAGCAGGCGAGCGCTCTCTTCCTGCCTAGCCTCCGACGACCTGTCCTTCAGCTTCGCCGGGTGGACCCCGCATTGGGCCCTATGGCTGACGAACGCTGCTGCCGGATCTCTAAGAAAGTCCAGATCTGTCTTGCAGTCGGGCTCCTGGTGGCTGTCGCCGTGTTGGCCGTCGTCGGAGTCCTGAAGTGGCTCCAGCGGCCCAAGTGGAACGGGCGAGGGACCACAGACAACTTTGCTGGCATGGTCCTGGAGCGATGCAACGTCTACACTCAGATGTTGCAGCCCGCGCTGAGGTGAGTTGGCACGTGGGGCGCACGGCTGGACGGGCAGGGCTCGGTGGCGCACAGCCCGGCACCGCGGGGCAGCCGTCTGGATTTCCCAAGACAAAGCATCTTCTATAGCGGATCGGCGGAGAGCCCGCCCGGCTGTGCTGAGCAGGGAGTCGGGGACCCACGGGACTCACGGTGCCGGCTCCGCGCGCCACTCGCAGGAGCTGCTGGCGCGGCCCGAGCGTGCCCGCGGAGGGAGGGCGCGCTGCTCGCTGGCTCTCCCGGCTCAGCGGGAGACACTCGGCAGAGACGCCCGCCTTCTGGGCATGGAGCCTGGAGCCCAGTCCCTTGCCGGGCCGCGGCCCAGCCTTGGCGCTCACAGCCCCTCTGCAGGGACAGAAAATAACTCAAAGACTCAGGGCAGGGTGGGCTGGGGTGTTGACATTTTCAACTTTGCAAGGAGTTTCGGTCCCTGGTTATGTGACTTGCAAAGTCTGCTGCAGGGGAGGAGCGGGTAGCAGGGCCAAGCCACAGAAATTAGTTTCATTCATTTATCTAAATGAATGAAATCATTTAGATAAATGAACGAAATCAGCACGCCGATTCTTCTCGCGTTCCCTGAAATGCATGTGACCAGAGAAATCATTAACAAAACAAAACAATATCAACTTTTAAAATCGAGGTGTTATTTAAACGGTAATATGCATTCAGCTCGGTGAATCTGTACAGACGCCAGAAAACACCAACCCTGTAAGTCTATGCAACCCTTCTATACCCCTTCCCAGCTACTAATCTCCCACACGGGGAACTTCTTTTTTGAATTATATTCCCACGGCTTGCTTTTACCCAGAGAATTCATTTTTATTGTACATAAAACAGAACAAGCTGGGAAGACATTGGAGGGAGTGGGAAGTGGGGAGAAGGAAGCTGTGAATTTAGGTTCTCTGCTTGAGACTGCAAAATCCTGCATTACAAACACCCCCAATCCCAGGTAAGTGAAAAGACCTTCCTCACCTCCCCAGGCAAGCTCAGTGGTTCTGTTTGCAAATCATTAATGTCCAATGTTTCCCAGGGACTCTATGCATTTTGTTTACAGATAATTAAATACTTAATGGAAAGAAAAACTAGAAATTGAGGCTGCACTTTAAAGTATCAATTAAATCAAGTGAAATCCAATCTGAAATGGTAATGATAAAAAAAAATCTCATTTTTGTTTTCATCTTAATTCAGAAGTTAAAAATATTGTGGCAGAGGCGGGAGGATTGCTCAAGGTCAGGAGTTCAAAACCAGACTGAGCAAGAGCCAGACCCTGTCTCTACTAAAAATAGAAAGAGATTAATTGGCCAACTAAAAATATATGGAAAAAATTAGCCGGGCATGGTGGTGCATGCCTGTAGTCCCAGGTACTCGGGAGGAGGCTGAGGCAGAAGGATCGCTTGAGCCCAGGAGTCTGAGGTTGCTGTGAGCTAGGCTGATGCCACGGCACTGTAGCCTGGGCAATAGAGTGAGACTGTCTCAAAAAAAAAACAGTTAAAAATAGTTTTTTTGGTTGTTGTTCAATCACCTTTGGTAAATTCACACTATTGGTTAGATTAGCACATCGATAAAGCAAGGAAGATGCACCACAGAAACTACGTGGCTTTGGTGTTTGTCAGGATGCATGCTCAGTATTAAACACACATGTGGTATACATATGCATGTATACATTTGTTCAACATATATGTGTATACATACATATTCAACAAAATATTAGTAAAAAATTGATATTTATGTAAATCATAATTCAGTTAAAAATTAACACGATGTAGCCTGTTAATATTTGAGCATCGGCCGGGCGAGGTGGCTCACGCCTGTAATCCTAGCACTCTGGGAGGCCGAGGCGGGTGGATCACTCAAGGTTAGGAGTTCGAAACCAGCCTGAGCATGAGCGAGACCCCGTCTCTACTAAAAATAGAAAGAAATTAATTGGACAACTAAAATATATAGAAAAAATTAGCCGGGCATAGTGGTGCATGCCTGTAGTCCCAACTACTTGGGAGGCTGAGGCAGGAGGATCGCTTGAGCCCAGGAGATTGAGGTTGCTGTGAGCTAGGCTGACGCCATGGCACTCACTCTAGCCTGGACAGCAAAGTGAGACTCTGTCTCAAAAAAAAAAAAAAAAAAAAAAAATATTTGAGCATCCTTCTACACATCTCACACTGTATACACACATGTACACACACACGGAGACATGTTTTATATAAATGAATTAGTAATAATATGGTGCTTACTATGTGCCAGGCACTGAACAAACATCAAATCATTTAGTCCTTTAACAATCCTATGGTGTATTTACTATGGGAATCCCCATTTTACTGATAAGCTGAGGTAGAGAGTAGGGTGAATTGTCCAAAATTTGGCTCCAGACACTGAAGTCTTAGCCATCAAACTACCCTGCTTAGGTGTGCTCTATGCCTATAGGTAGAATGACTATAAAATTTAATGCTCGAGTCTGTGGACTTTTGACATAGGAAAGACAATAGAAAATGCTATTGAAAGTGTGCTGAGTCATAGGCTTAAACCAGAAAATATGGTCACCATATCCTTGGGTGCTTTAGGAGCATGACCTCTGGAGTCACACTGGTTGGGTTTAAGTCTTGGCTGTGTCACAGTGTGAAGTAGGGCCAGTTACTTAATTTCTCTGTGCCACAGTATTCTCAACTGTAAAATGGAAATATTAAAGGTAGTACTTCGCAAATAGGGAAATTGCCAGGATTAAGAGGAATAATCTTGTCACGTAAGAATTTCTTTTTTTGGAAATCAGCGTCACAGATGCCTTCACGTGATAATAAATATAGATCCAGGGCAACCATTTAAAATGGATGACTAGTGTTATTTATTTAAATCCGAATACAATAAATCAGTCCTCCAGTGGTAAAATTTATGTTGTTTCTAATTTTTTTACTATTATTCTTTTTCTAACTTAACACTTGATCTGGGGAATTTTTAAATATCAGTACATGTAGATCTATCTCATCCCTATTACCAGCTCACAGTATTTCATAGAGTAGATGTAACCATTTTCTATTCATAGGAAATGAGTTTGTTTCCAATTTTTCAATTGCATTCATTTCATTCAACAATTATATGTGGAACATCTACTATGTTCCAGGCAGCACTCTAGCCAGGAGTGAATGACAATGTTCCCACTCTCACAAAGCTTTCATCCTGGTTGGGAGAAACATGATGTAATGCTCATCTTCATACATATACTTTTATGGGCATATGAGAGTGTTTTGTAGGATAGACTTCTATTGGTGGAATTTCTGGGTCCAAGGGAGAATTATGCATATTTTAAGTATTGATTATTCCAAATTCCATGTATTTCCAAATTCCCTCCAAAATATTATAGCTGTGTCATTTTTCTCTCCCATCATCTCTCTATCAGAGGGCATGCTTTCCCACAGTCTCTTCATTGCTGAATATTTTCAACTTTTTTAATTATAAAAAAATAGCATCTAATTATTCTTTGATTATCAGTGTGTCTGAGCATCTTGCATGTGTTTATTGGCCATTTATATTTTTTCTATGATTTTCCTAATCATAGTTATCCTTCCTAATTTCTATTGAGTTGTTTATTTATTTGTTTTTATGGGAGTTCTTATATGTTTTCAGTAATATTCACACACATACACAGTAAAAGTCATTGGTACAAACTGTACAAAATAGCAAATTTAAACAAGCACTTTGTAAAGACTTAACTAAATGTCTGGTGCTGGGGCTAATCATGGAGATTCACAGAGGAAGAAAATACAGTTTTGAGCTCTAAGGTCCTGCAGCAGGAAGAGGGGGAGAGGACGAGAGCAGTGCAGGACCTTGTGATCTGTAGTGACGGAGATATTTGTACATAGCCATGAGGTGCACTGAGGAGGGAGCCATTGCTACTGCACTGCTAGCCTTGCACTAAATTCTTCAGGGGTGTGTAGGATGTACCCAGGTACCTATCTAACAAGAAGAAAATGGGAATTGCTGAATATGTGAGCCAAGTGCCAGCACAATGCCACAGAGATACAGACGTGGACATCACCTCCCTGGTGGGGCAGAGGCAGGAAGGAAGGACTTCATGAAAGAAGTAACATTGGAGGTCTTCCTTTTAAGATAGAATTTCAACAAGGGGGTGCTCTGAACAGTGTGTGCTACCCTGTTGAGAGCAGCCCCAAGGACAGATAAGATGCTACTGTGAGGGAAAATGAGGCAATTGATTGACTAAATATCTTTAAAGGTGTTAAGACTTTGGGGAGGATCCCACTGGTGAGAGGGTCTAGACCTCATGTTGGCCTGTCCACAACCTGGACCTTCTATTTATTATTATTACTAAGAAAATATCTACTGGATGATGTAAGTTTTCTTTATGTTTTTTTTTTTTTTGGTTCTTGGGGTACAGAATACATCCTACTGGTGATGTATAGTCAGTATACTATGTACCCATGTCTGACACCTTGATTAAAGGATCATTCAGGCACTGAGAGTGGATGGCAGCAGGACAAGGGCATAATAGGCCTGGAAGCCATTTGGAGGTTATTGTAGTAATTCAGATGAGAGATGGCTGTGGCTTGGATGGCGATTGATGGACGGTGATAAGAAGTGGATGGATTCTGGATATATCTTGAAAGTAGATTCCATATGATTTATTATGGGCTTATAGATGAGATATGAGAGAAAAAGAAGAAACAACACTGACTCCAAGAGTTTTGGGCTGACCTACTAGAAAAAATGAATTGCCATTTTATCAAAAAGAGAAAGGTCGCAGTGAAGCAAGTTAGGAAAGGCGTAGGTAGTTTGGTTTTGTACATTCAATAGTCCCCGTTTATCCATGGTTTTACTTTCCTAAGTGTCAGTTATCCACAGTCAACCATGGTCTGAAAATATCAAGTGGAAAATTCCAGAAATAAACAATTCGTAAGTTTTAAATTGTGTCATTCTGAGTAGCTGATGAAATCTCATGCCACCCTGCCCTGTTCTGCCCAGGACGTGAATCATCCCTT